TGAAACGTAGGAGGCTAAGATATGTCCAGAAACAAGTCTTTCAGTTTGGAGGTGACATTTTTAGAATCACTATATTTTAATATTACTAAAACCATTTCAATTAAGCAAGAGAATGAGTTGGAGAGAATGGATATTAAATTAAATTTATTTATTTTAATGAGAAGTTATATGTATACATACTTATGTGTACACTTATGCTCAACTCTTTCCTCACTATCAGAATTCTATGTACTATTGTTGAATTTCTCTAATGAGGAATAATGTAGGTAAATATCTTCAATACACTTAATATCATGTAGTTTAAAAAGTTTAACATATTCATTCTTCAAAGTTAGGAAAATTGTGGACTCTAACAGATTCCTGAGATAAGTCAGCATTGATTGTATTTTTTTAATAAATTTTATTTATTTTTGCATAGAAGAACTAGGAATGTAGACCAAAGGTGCAGGGGTGAGAGGATTCACCAGAGACAGAGTGCAGAGCCAAACAGGTGATTCATTGAAATACACTGCTGAGAGGAGCAGTAGGTAAGACAGGAGAGGTCTGCTGTACCATATGTGGGTTTGCTCCCTGGCCAGGGATGGAACTCAGGCTGTAGTGGTGATAGCACTGAGACTTAACCTCTAGGGCACCAGGAAGGCCCTGATGTTGGATGTTTTAAAGAAGGATCACAGGGCCTCCCTGGTGGCAAAAGTGGTTAACGTACAACCTGTGAAGCTATTCACAGCCACTGCAGCATGAGTTCAATCCCTGGCCAGGGAGGTACCCACATGGTGCAGCAGACCTCTCCTGATTCACCCGCTGCTCCCTTCAGCAGTGTATTTGAGTCAGTATGCTTGTTCTGCTCCCCACTCTGTCTCTGGTGAATCGTCTCACCCCCCACACCTCTGATGTTACCCCAGTTCTTGTATGAATAAATAAATAAATCTTTAATTAAAAAAAAGAAGGATCACTTATCATTCTTTGCATTTAAAATAGTATCTAGTACATAGTCAATGCTCAGTGTTTGTTGAATGCACTTTGAGTGTATGAATGAATGAATTATATTATTCCAAAGGAATATATTACAATAAAAATGGTTAGCTTTTAATCAAGGTAAAGCACTATGTGCATGACCCTAGATAAGTCAATTTACCATTTGGGACCTCAGTTTATTCATTTGCAAATCAAAGGTCAGATCTCATCAGCTCTATAGTCTTAAAAATTCACCATGGGATTTATACCATCATTTACTGCCAATCAATTTTCTCTGGTGCAGAAACACCTTTCACATTTCCATTAGCTAGACAACAACAACTCCTGACACATTCACTTCATTTTTCCTTTTGACTTTGTGATTTGAAAGTAAGATTTAAAAACCAATAATGCAAGAAACAGGCACACATTAGAATCAACCCCAAAGGACAGTCAACTGTAACTACTGCATGCAATAGAAATATGGCATATAGTACCTAAAATTTCCCTCTTCTTTTAAGTCACACATTCTCTTTCTTCATTTTGAATTTTTTTTATTTGACCTTGTTTCATTGCTATATGAAAATACTTTGCTCTTAGAGCCTATTCTCATCTACTTGAAAAATAACACAGTTAGAAATATTCCTCAGTTTCTACTGGCCCATTAGTAATAACTTGCCTACATTTCATTTTTTATTTTCCTAACAATTGCCAGGGGCAAAAATTAAATTAAGCCACAAACTCCCTAGTGAATGAAAAGTAAGACTAATGATTAGTGCTTGATTTAGAGAATGAAATGAAACCTAACAGGAGCAAGTTTTACCTGGTATTTATGGCAAGTGTTAAATTAATGGACTAGACAGAATGATTTCATTGACTCTCTGAAATGGTATCTTGTTTTTGGAGTTCAGCATATAGCACACACAGACACACACACACACTCACAAATGTAATTCTAATAATAAAGCTGTATATAGTCTTTATTTGACTTGTACCTCTTGGAATTAAGAACCAAGGGTCTAAGCTCCAAAATACATGACAGTCTGCTTGTGTAAGCAGAGTCAGAATTGAAAGCTGCTGCTTTGGAAAGTCTGGTACAAGCAGTACTGAAAATTGCTTAACCAGTTCAGTAGTCATCCACAAGTAGACAACACCCAGGGCACAGACATATTACTCTAATTAAGGAGATGTTCCCCTGTTGGAGTAATCTCTTTTCACTCATATAATCATACTTCTGATACACATTTAATCTTCCTGACTCTCCCTACTTTCTTGTAGGAAGTAGGCTGCCCAAGGAGAACTACATTAACTCTTTCATCTTAATAGAAATTTAAAAAAAAGTTTTGGGCCTCCTTGGTGGCACAAGGGGTTAAGGCGCAGCACTAAAAAGCTATCCTCAGCCACTGCAGGACGAGTTCCATCTCCGGCCAGGGAGGTAACCCACATGGCGCAGCAGACCTCTCCTGTCTCACCCACTGCTCCCCTCAGCAGTGTATTTCAGTAGATCAGCCTGTTCTGCTCCCCACTCTGTCTCTGGCGAATCCTCTCATCTCCTGCACATCATGCCTGAGCCCCAGTTCTTATATGCATAAATAAATTTTTTAAAAATACATTAAAAATAATAAATAAAAAAATTTTAACTCAAAATCTTTTTTTAAACATTGACTACAGGAAAACTCTTTAGCACAGACCCCTAAACCTATACTGATTCATTATAAGCAAAAATTGCATGACATGAATTTCAGTAAAACAGACCAAAGCAGAGTCCCTAGACAATGTTATGACAACATATGTCCCAAAAATAACATCTCTTCATGGTCTATGAAATTCTTTCAGTCTTTGCCCAGATGTCTTAAAACCTCAGCCCAGAAACTAATTGTGTCTCTTTCACCACAATCACCAGTCACACATATTTAACCATGTTTCTGTGAGTTTAACACCTTATTATATAAAATTATTCAAGTCTTTACCCAGATGAAACAGTAGGCTGTCCTTCAATAATACTTTCCTGCCCCATTCAAACACTAAAAACACATGAACATATGTTTTGTGAACTATCTGGAATCAATCTCCTTGGGAGAAAAAAAAAAAACAATGAATTTCTTATATAACAAGTGGATTCAAAATTCCTGTGATTGAATTAGGTAACTTATTATTTTATTAAATGTCTCTGTTTTCCATGTTTCTCTGTACAAATCCACCACTTGTACTTACTGGCTTTAGACTAGACTGCCCTTCTTTCTATAATCAAAAAGGTTGACTCTTTTTTTAAAAATTTAGCATTCTTAGACCTATTTATGACAAGTGTCCTTAAACATTTCTCTCTCTCTCTCTGTCTGTATATATATATATATATATATATATATATATATATATATATGAATTACAGAATATTTGTAATTTGTATTCACCAATATAACACTGTTCTCAACTTAGCAAAGCAAATAGCAGGTAGAATCTATTTTGAAGATGAAGTATTTAAAATCCAAAGAGATTTATCTAAATTCATATAAAAGACAATGGATTCTGAGTATTAAGACATATTTGGTCCAGATTGCACAGGTCAAATGAACAAGCAACTTGCATCTTCCTAGATGAATCATGACTATATTTGAAAGGAAACTTACTGCAAAGATGGATAGTCATCATATTTCCTGATCTCCTTCAAAAAGCAAGTTAAATGTTCCTGACTTCTGACTGTCAAAGAACACAAATAATTTTTGGACTGAGGATTTTGAAGATTAGAATATTTTTGGGTTAAGAGAGAAAGAATTTCATAAAAAGACCATGGGTAGAAATTGACTATTTTCAGAACACAGGATGATGAAGCATGGAGAATTGAAGGAGTGATCAATCTGACTATTAATTCCTCAAGACCAACTCACCTCATCACGTCCACATGTTTTTTCCACTACAACTGTCTACCAATAGGCATTATCCTCTGGTTGAGCCACAGTCATTTCAAACTTGGTAAAACTTGTTTATCAAGTTCAGGGACAGACTGTTTAAATATATGAAGATTTCAGTGGTACTCGACTCAAGAGCCTGAAACTGGAAATTCAAATCTTGATTGAAAAAAAAATAGAAAGCACAATAAGAATGAAAGAAATGGTCTTCTCAATTATGATGTACTGGGAAGTTTATCTTGAATTTCACAATGCTTAGAATATTATCAATCATTGCAATATAACAACCCACTTTGCTTTTTCTGATTTTTATTCATCTCTCTTCCTATTTGTGCTTTTCTCCTTAGAAGGAATATTGGGCCCCGTGTTATTTACTACATAAATTTCCACCAAACAAATCTCTTCAGAACCTGTACAGATGACTATCACATAATAGATGTCCAAAAAGTAACTTAAAATCAAAAACATAGATAGTTTTTAAAGGAAGAAGTGGATGAACAATAAAGACAGGTTCTGAAGGGTTCTACAAATTTCCTGGGAATAGTTCAACACAAGCTCTTTCAAAGATGGCAAAAAATGTATCAATATATTCTTCCTCTAAAGGTGAAAGGAATTTCACACAACATTCTGTTGCTTAGAAGAAAAGGGCCAGATGAATCATAGGTATATTTCAACACCCTCAGGGTGTTGTGATAGCATACTTTCCATCTGTCTCAAAGGAAGGAACTGTATAATGTAATTAATATACTTCAGTATCTATGTCTCCCCTTGGTCTTGGTGATTTGATGGGCAATAGAAAGTTGAGGTTATGAAGATTTAATGCATGTTTTTATTTAATAAGCTCACTTTATTTGCTGAGAAGGGTTTTGAATAAGATATAAACCCTTGTTAAAGGAGGACATATGCTACATTTCCCAAAATCACAAAGACAAAAGGAGAAAATTATAAAAACTTGCTATTGTATCATATTCTATGCTATAATATTAAAATATAAAGGGTAAACTCAAGTAGGAAAAAGGCAAAATGAATTACATCTAGCTTGCAGTGAAGATGGGCTACACTTGAATTCTCCTTCTGATTTCTTTGAGTAGTAGTATTTTATTTTTTACTTTTTATTTTATTATTTGTTTTATTTTACAGGAAGTTTCTAAATTTGCAAATGGAAAACCACAAAGAAAGTAAATCAGATTTACTTTGAAAACTTTATATTCTTTAATTCTATATTTAATGGAGCATAAAAGTGGGTTTCCAGTCAACGTATTTTTTAAAAATATCTAAGGACAAATTTAGGTAAGTTTTGTTGTGCTATCATTTGTCTTTTAATGCTGATTCATAAAAAACCTGTGTTGTGACATGTTAAATAGAGATGTGAAAATTAACTTTTCAGAGAAGAAGCATGTGTTTAAACTTAGCTCAAATTAAAGTGGGAGCTTTTTTGAAAACATGTTTTTATCAGTGACCAATATATTAATCTTTTGAAAAGTTCTTCTAATCCAAATAAAATGTGTTTGCAAAGAGATTTGGGTTATTTAGGTCAGGCTTGGCTTTACATTCAACACATCAAGTTGCCAGGGGACATGACACACTCCTGTTGCATAACGTAATAGGATTTTAACTAATAAGCAGGGAAGGAGAAGGAAGTTGGTTTATGGGGGAAATTTCCAGATTGGTTGTTGATAATACAACAGACTGGCCTCCGGGCATTCTGGATTGGTTTTAGACCAAATTGTGAATCATGTTAAACTTTCTCTGGATGTAGTAATTTTGATGGTTCTTCCCCAACCACACCCCCCACTTTTCACTTCCTCTAAACTCTCCACTTCATATTCTTTCTTTACTTTCTTGCTCAATGATATCTCCCAGTAAGGATATTTAATGCAACCATAGCAAGGAGGTAATTGCATGGTTAACAGCTCAGGACAACTGCCAGGCAAGACTAGTTGTATCTTAGCCACAGTTAATCATTCAAACTACAACAGTGGTATTTTAAGCATGAGCTGGAGTAAGGAAGGGGATTTTTTGTGTAGGACTCTTTTTAGACTCCTAAATTGCCCTTAACTATGCAGCTATTTAGCATGTCCACAGATAAGATGCTCACTAATTCTAAAGCAAATACTTGAAACAAAATTAGAGCTATTGGCATATAATTGATGCTTCTGCACATTTGAGGATAATCTGCAGATGGCGGGGCTGGAGCATGAATGACAGGGAAAGGACTGATGGTGATAGAATTAGGGTTTTCCAAACATAAGCTAAATCAATTTGTGTGCTTCCTCCAAATCCAACCAGTTAAAATAAAATTGAAGACTCTTTTGAGTTCTTCAACTCTTTTGTCCACCACGGCCTCGGAGGAAATAACGTTTGTTGTGCTCCCACTCCCTCATTTTATAATATTATCAATAATTTTTTTTTTAATACTTGCTATATACCAAGAGATATCCTAAGTATTCTCCATTAAGAAATTAAAAATAAACCCAAAAACGATTAAGACAAGAAGGAACATCTTATATAAAGTTTTTTTTTTGCTTACAATTCTGAGCATAGAAAATATGAACTTGGTTTAAATTTAACACTAATATTAATGGTGGAAACTCTCAACCTATAACAAAGTTATATGTCCAGGTTAAATAATGATTATTGCTCAGGTCTGTTATTTTCTTAGGGATTATGGAATGGTGGCATTCAAGTCACATCATTCTTTCTGTATTTATTGAACATACTCATTTGAGAAAGAACTTTTCCACATTATCTGTTTGAGATACATTCATGTAGAAATGGCTTTTGGGGTGGGCAGACTTTAATGTAATTTCTCCATAATGCATAGAAAAATTTCCAGGCTAAGATTATACTTGTATTAACTGTACTTTGCCATCTACTGTCAGAAAATTCAAGACCACATGTAGACCTTGGTAAGATGTACAATTTTCTTCTGCTCTCACAGGTATTTCACATATGTCTATGTGATCTAATTTCTGTTTTAGAAATGTTACTTTTAAAATGTAAATATCTGTTTCCTTAATTCTTCTAGGTTAATCCAGAGATCTATGTTTGAAAACAAGGTACTTAGTAATTCATCAGAATACTCATGAAAATGATATGTACTATTTCCCTGGAAGTTGTTTATTTTTCACTATTGCCATAGGGCAGAAATAAGTGATTAAAGGAAGTTGTCTTTGAGTTCTATAGATCGGAAAAAAAAAAAGAAGCCTGCTTCCATTGTCACTGTAAGTGACTAAGACAAATGATTGATTTATTCAGCAAAATTTCCTTTCGTAAAATAAAAATTGTCCTTGGTGGTTTATGGCTGATTATCTTCCAACTCTACAACTTTAGCTTGGTTGGACCATGGTTAAGGTGACATTGGATGTCTTTTTAGATCTATTAATCTAAGAGTGAATATGAAGGATGTAGTAAACAGTTGGATTGCAATACTCTTCCACCACATTTCATAGAACTGTATCTTTTCTTTCATTTCTGTGATTTCAAAATCCATAGTAATATTAAAGGTAATGGGCTTGATTTGTATTTAATTCTAAAATTATTATATATTCCATTAATTACTTTTTAAAAATTATGTAGATAATGGCTCTCCTTTCCTCACAGAATAATTACTAATGGTAGCTAGTGGCAAAGCATCTGGCCACTGATTCCTCTCTCATTAGTCATGGCCTTTGGGTATTAGTTAATATTTAGAATATCAGTCTTGAGTTGAATAATGTAGTCCTAAATAAATGAAAATACAGCAGATATTTATTTCCCTTCTAGATCCATTCTCATAGCATGCGCTTCAGTTTTCACACACAAAACTACAGATGTTTCTAGCCTAACATAATTCTTGATGATCAATTACCTTCTCTATTGTCAAGTATGGGCAAATGACTTTAAAAACAATATAGCATACTAAGTTTTTCTCTGTGTGATGCTTTGGTTGCATTATTTAAATACTGCTTTATCACTGGTAGGATAGAAACTGTGAAATACTTAGTCTTTGGTAAGTTAATTAGAAGAGATAACAATTCTTCATTTTGGTGCAGTTTAGTTCATTACTTGTCTAGGCTCCACCCTAGGTTTTGGGAGGATAAGACAGAAAATCAGCTTCTTCTACTTAGTCATTTTAGAGTTTCTTGAAACTATCACAGCTCAGTTTTCTCTCTACAGATAGAATCATTTTGTTAAAAACTATGATGCATGTAGCATTATTTTAACTTATGCATAAAATATAAATAATTACTAATTCAAGACAATCCAAAGAAGAATGTAAGCATAAGTTATCAAATGGTATTTCAGTAATAGCTTTCTAGCATCTATGCTTGGGTACTTATGCAGTACATGGAAATAAATCCGGAGTCTACAGAACCTCAAGCTATTCTCCAGATACTAGAACTCCCCAGAATGAACCATACAACTCTCTTAACATACACTTACAAATTACAATTGTGTGCTGAGCCTGTTTTGACTTCAAATGTCTTACATTTATTGGACAGATGTTACAGATGTTAACCAATCCTCTTCTTTATTTTAGAAGGAAAAACTGTGAATGATACCATCTGGCAGGATTCCAGCAAACCTGAGAATAATTCCCACATCAGAAGGCTCTGTCAGCTAAAAGGTAATTGCTAAATTTACTTCCGCTGACTTTGCATTTACCCAAAGCAGTTTAAAGAAGGGGTTAGAAAAATTTACATCTTTCTTCATTAAAATAAGCCAAGTATTGGGCCTCCTTGGTGGCACAGGCAGTTGAGCAGTGCAGGTTCGATCCGGGCCAGGCAAGGAGAAACCCACATGGCGCAGCAGACCTCTCCTGTCTTGCCCGCTGCTCCCCTCAGCAGTCAATCTGCCTGTTCTGTTCCCTGGTCTGTCTCTGGTGAATCTTCTCACCCTCCCGCACATCTGGCGTGTACCCTGGTTCTTATATGCATAAATAAATAAATCTTTTAAAAAATAAGCCAAGTATTGTATTGTAGAACACTTAAAAAGCAAAAACAAAGTGAGTAAAATAGAATGTGTATATTAACAGAATATGAACATGTATATGTGTGCACATACACAGATATGCAGAAAGGAAGTGGAATCAAATTTAAAAATTTATCTGTTGAAGTGCTGAAGCAAAGAATCAATTACAAATAATGTCTCCAGTGTCTAAAACAATTTAAAAATGTATTAAAAGCAAGCACAGAAAAACTTTCTTAAAAACAATATGGTAAGTAGTTATACTTAGGTTTTCTTTTAAAAGTTAAAAGAAATAACCTTGATTATTAATGCAAAATTATAACATTTTAAATTTAAAAATTCCCAAGAAGAACAAAATATCAGGGAGGTATAAAAATGACTAATAATAAATTCTTGCACATTTAAAATTCCTTAGCATTGGAAGGTAATGAATAAAACAAAATTTTCTGAGTCCACAAATATAACAATACAAAAAAGTTGATCTGCTTGATATTCTACTCTAATGTTATTGGAACAAGAAATAATTGATTATATTAGTTATTGATTTATTTCAAATTTTTGATATTCAGTTGAAAATATTTTTGTATCTTATGACAAGGGAAATTAATTACTATATATTCTTAGAGTTAGGAGTTAATGGTTTGATTAGGACCTTTGATTCTTAAATATAAAAAGTAATTATGAAATTAATAATTTTCCTTTGAAATATTTTGGCTTTATCCAACATTGTGTAATGTTTTTGGCTTTAAGTCAAATTTTCTACTTTATTATAAATAAATAGATGAACCATTTGGGAGTTATTTTAAATATATTCTTTTAATTACAGCACAAGAAAAATTTTTATAATGCCATGTGTTTCGTTGTTTTAAAATAAAAACAATCCCACATAAAAATAAATTTAACAAATTCCACAGCATTTATTGTCATCCAGCAATAGCATAAGGATGATCAAAACAATGTGTTGCCTTAAAAAGAAAACTATATTGCTTTCTCAACAATTTCTCACTTCATCGATCATTTCTAATTGGAGACACTCTGGAGCAGAGTAATATTATCTCCTATTAGCATAATCCAACCCAGTTGTTTTCTTGACTTTGTTTTAGAATGAATCTCTTCTGCATCATCTAACACCAGATTCATATACTCATCAATACCAGTGATACAGTCCTCTATCTGCATATTCACTTGCCCTTAACACTACACCTGAATCTGAGATCTATTTTGCAATATCTAAAGATGAGTTTGATGAGCTGTACCATTACTTTCTGCATTTTTTGGCCCTGGCCACAGTAGAAGCTCACAAAGACCACACTAAGCCACATGTTACTTCAGAAACAATGTCCATTATATCCTATTTTGATTGGACTCTGTCTTCACCTCATACATACCAGCTGTCTTCACTCACACCCTCATATATTCATCCATCCACCATCCATCCATCCATCCATCCACCATCCCTTTTATAATTACACATTATTAGTTTTAGATTATTGGATATTGATCTATGGATAAAGAACTTAACACTGTGTTATAGACTACTTTCAATTATAATTTTTCTTAAATGTTTTTAAGTATTTTGTTTTCTAAAAATTCTGTTTGTGTTTTTTTTTTTTAAAGAGTAATGGGCAGGTAATTCTATTACTGCTAAACTGACAAAACAGAAATCTTGTTCTTAGGTGAGGTGCTCAAAAGATCTGTTTTTTTTTTTTTTTTTTTTTTTTTTTTTTTTTACTGAAAGAAGAAAAATTAATGCCTTTACAGAATCTTTCCCATGTTTGATATTTCTTAAATTGTCACGTCACCATGTTTAGAGTGTGTATGCGTATGTGCATGTATGTGTGTGCCTAAAAAGTTCACCCAATTTCAGCAATAGCAGCTGAGTCACAGGACATTTCCTAGGGATTAATGCCATGCTAGGAAGAGTTGATGGCCTGAGACCAAGGCTGTCAGTACCATTGTAAATTAGAGAGAAATTTGGTGTGGGAGGGAGAGCCACAAGTTTGTGGACTTGAATTTTATGGGTGTAGTTGCTTCAGTTGGAAGGCTCAGAGTATTTCTAAGCAATTAGTGCCCTACGTATCAACCCATAATATTTCTTTCTCATTTTAAACACTACGTTTTAGCAGTTAATTGCATAATTACTTAAGAGTGGTTTACTGAGCCTGGGGATAGGCAGGCTGTGAAGTTTAGTGAGCTGGAGATCAGAAGGTGCAACATTGCTTTCATCCACAGCCCATGATTTTATTGAACACGCTAATGATAAAATTGTAAGGACACCTTCAATAAAGCCAAAGAAAATATCTAAGGAAATGAAGGGTAGGAGTAATATTAACTCCTAAAGGACCTGTTACAAACTCAAGACTAAAATAAAGGCCATTTCGGGCCTCTCAGGTGGCGCAGCAGGTTGAGCGCTGCACTGTGAAGCTGTCCGCAGCCTCTGCAGTGCGGGTTCGATCCCGACCAGCTGGCAAGAATCCCACATGGTGCAGCTCTCCTGTCTAGTCCGCTGCTTCCCTCAGCAGTGTATTTCTGTCATCTGCCTGTTCTGCTCCCTGCTCTGTCTCTGGTGAATCCTCTCACCCTCCCGCACCTTTGGCCTGTACCCCAGCTCTTGTATAAAAATAAATAAATCTTTAAAAAAATAAATAAAATAAAATAAAATGAAGGCCCTTTCTCTCAATTTGTTTCAAAATTATATTTTACATATGTGAACAGCATTTATGTCCTAAAGAGTATTGAGGGTTAATGAAGGAAACTTTCCACTAGCTGTATTTAGCCAAGAATTTGTAGCTGATATTTTAATCTAAAAAGATATTCACATGGTCAATAATTATGACTCTGTTGTATCAGTTAAGACAAAATTTATCAGAGTAAGTTGAGTGCCAGAAGCATAACATTTCTATTTATTTAGTCCATTTCCTTCTTCTAAGATGAATTTTATCTAAACTTTCACCTGTACTATTAGGAGATTACATCTGTAAAATAAACAGAATAAATGGAGTGTTCAGTACTTTACAATTGAAAAACTGGCATAACTTAGACATTAAGGGAAATCAATCTGCAATTCATGTTAACTGTCATATTTTCAGCATGATAAATGGGCAGAATATTCATGTTAGCAAATTAAAATCAATTTTAAAAATTTTAAATTTAGTTTGGCCTAAGTTTTATGGAAAAAAACAAAGCTTGGAAAGACCAAACTTTGAAATATATGAATTGGCGTTGACCCAAGATTAAGTTGTCATGTAAGTTAAAAACAGGATTCTCGAACAGGATTTCTACAACAAAAATAACTGTTGGTCTATGTAAAATAGGATGATTACCAGGGGGGAAGAGTGACAGGAGTGTAACATGAGCTTTGTTGGTGAACGCATGTAGCATATGTACATGTTGAGGTGTGAAGCTGTATTGCTGAAATTACAGTTTTGTAAATGAATGGTAAATCAACAAAATTTGAATAAAAATAAAGAACTGTTTTTCTATTTTTACCAAAAAGTACAAATAATAATATTTTTTTTTAAAAAATAAAAGCAAACAAAATACAGACTTACGTGATTGTGACAGTCAATTCCATAAAACAAACATATGCAAAAAAGGATGTTAGTCATAAAAGCAGGTAACAACTTGGATTTATGCTTGACACCTGATGTGTGTGTATGTGACTGCAGGGAATGGTGGGGATAGGGACAATCTTGTAAAACTAAACCCTTAATCTGTGGAAAATTATGTTCTTTCTGGGTAGACAATGTCAAATTGAATCGAGTTGTAGGATACCCACTTAGTCTCTGAAGGACTCCTTGGTAGTGTTAGGGAAGCCCTTCCTCCAATCTTTGGAATTGATACTGTTATAGGACAGGGAGAGGGGCAGCCCAAACCCCGCAAACCTGCCTATTCTACATGGGTTCTGCCATCCGCCGCATCAACACAAAACATAGGAGACTTTAATGGGAAGGAACTTTAATAAAACTAGGAAACAATACAGGTAAGGCAAAGAGTCTAGTTTCTAAGTGAAGCATCCAAAGTTACCTGTCCCCTCGTGGGTAAAAGTCCGTCCAAATGGGATTGGCCCAGAGCAAGGCCCCAAAGCCTGCCACGAGTCTAAAGCACCTTCCAGTGGGGACCCACAGCAAAGGGTCAGAAACAACCAGACAAGCCCAGAAGGAAAAGAGCAAAATCAACATCAAGATAAAAGCTGCCATTGTCACCTCCCCACGGGTCTCACCCACATCTGTGTCACCCAGTCCACGACCAAAAGACAAGCGCAGTTTCTTCACATGTCTCTAGGCTCCATGAGCCTCCTCCAGGTCTCCTGGCTCCATCCTGCTTCCTTCCTCAGTCTCTTCTGCAGCTTCTCTTCTTCCTGCTCAGACCACCTTCCCTTGGGTGGGGCAGGGAACCTCCCCCTTTCCTGGGGACCTCCCTGTTACAATACCAGAACCTCTTTAGATCACAATTTAATTTAAATATTGTTTCCCTAGAGCATGTAATTTAACTTTTGTTAGAGTGTACTGCAGGAGGAATGACAGATAAACACAATTTATACCTGAATGTCTGCTCCCGACTTGGGAATAAACTACCCCAGCAACGGCCGCCTGCTGCAGCACACCTTCTTTCCAAGGAAAGCTTTCTGAATTGAATGAGAAAGGCCAGAGTTTTAGTGTTTTGTCCAAATGAATCTTGGGGTCCCTTTAATTCCTGAGGGACGTTCTTACTAGGATTAGAGTTACCTGGCTATGCTCAGAAGTGTATCACATTAGAATCATCACCAAGTTAATTAGACATATTACGTTTTTAAACCTAATCCCATTTTCTTTTTTGCATTTGTATTTGAGCGGCAGTAAGAGTCTCAAAGTTTATGTTGGTTGGGACACTGTTATGGCCACTATCATTTGATTCATTCTTCTAGATTATGGACTAATATTCATAAAATGGCTGTGGTATTTGTAGCTTTTCCTTTTTTTCCTCGTTTCCAGATATCCCCATTTTTTTAAGCTTCTATTCAAACCCTTCCTCTTCCATAAGTACTTTGGGTCATAGTCACTGCTCTCTGATAGTCACATCTGAATCACTCGTTTTTCTGCCTTGAATGGTTATGTGAGTTATATAACTGGCATTGTGCAGCTTCCTCAGCTGTTTTCAGATCCTGGAGGCCAGGAGACCACATTACTGTTCTTTTCTTATATCAATCCTATTCAGAATAATAGCTATAGGAGTTCTCCAAAATTCATGTTAAATCCATCAAAAAGGAGAGATGAAAAGAAATAATGGAATGGAGGGGGGGAACCATTTTTTCTATAGGAAAATAAAAAAAAAAAATTGCAAAAACTGCTTCCAGTATCCTGATACCATGTTAGAAGATCGTGCTTCAAAGAACCAGATGGCAAAACTAGCTCATTTTAAAATTTAAGTATTTTCTGAAATCCTGTAATATAACTACTCTTATTTTATAACTCAGTTATTACTCTGTGAGCTGTGAATTTATTTTTTTAATTCTATTTTTTTTTTTTTTTTTTTTTTTTTTTTTTTGTGGGACCCTCGCCGGTGGCCGGGGATTGAACTGGCTCTGCAGAGGCTGTAGGCAGCCTCGCAGCCCAGCGCTCAACCGCTGCGCCACCAGGGGAGGCCCTCTATTTTTTTTAAAGATGTATTTATTTATTTATACAAGCACTGGGTACGGTCAGAGGCACGGGAGGGTGAGAGAATTCACCAGAGCCAGAGCGGAGAGTAGAACAGGCAGAGTGACGAAGTACACTGCTGAGGGGAGCAGCGGGCCGCAGGAGAGGTCTGCACGCCATGTGGGACCCTAGCCTGGTAGCAGGGGATTGAACCGGTGCTTCAGAGGCTGCAGGCAGCTTCGAAGCCCAGCGCTCAACCACTGCGCCACTGGGGAGGCCCCTGAGCTGTGAATTTAACGTATCTTTTAGCCACAGCTATGATGAGGCTTTGGAGAAAAACCTGCATCTATTTTTCACCGTGCATGGAAGGTAGGCCTTGACTGCCATTCCTCCCCCACAGAATATGAGAATGAGGAATAGTGGGAAATTGAAGCCATGATTGCAAGTAAGGAGAGAAGGTGAAAGGAAGTCACTGCGGGTGGCGACCAGGTGATTTCTGTTAGTCTCAGTATCAATCTGTACACTATGGGGTTTGGATTAAGTGATCCATAAAGCACTGTCCATTTTCAGCAGCTGTGTATTTCAGATTTAAATAAATGGAGCTCCTTTTACAGAGCCTGAAAGGGAAATGCTACTACCTTTTGAAAAGGTTTCATTTAGCTTCAAGCAAATGGATGCCACATTCCAATGCTTTTACTAAAGCATGCATAGAACAATTTCAACATAAATAATTCATGTTGAGAAGACTTAAGCTAATAAAGCTCAAAATGCCAGGGGTGGAAAGCTTAGTTTAATAGAAACAGGTAAGGTGATAACTTCATGAAATCACAGCCTTTTGGAGTTAGAAGTGACTTTAGTAGCTTGTATGCGATTGCTCTATTACTGAGAGGGAAATTAAATCCCAGAGAGGTACTATGGCTTGCTCAGAAAGCACACAGCTGGTTAGTGGTGTTGTTTGTATTTTGCTAGATTTCTATTTTGGTTTTTTTCTGTTACTTGTGAGAATAGCAAATGTTTAAGAAAATATTTATGATTTAAAGAAAAATGCGAGTATTAAATTGCACTTAAATTTCTTAAATCCTGTAATTTCTGCAAATCTATTTAACAACTTCATCTTTTCATAGATCAAAATGAAGAGGCTTTTCTTTTGGGTAGTAACATACATATTCTTCAAGGAAAAAAACTGCCAGGCATTTCTTATCAGGTAATTTGAGCAGTCAAAATGTGGTGTTTTGTGAAGATCATCTGTCTGTGGAGCTCTGTAATATGCTAGATGTAGTGTCCAATACTTAGACAACCTGGTAACTACTTTGTATTTAGTTATTGTAAATTGCTTTGTAATTGATATGTTTATGTCTCTGTGAACTGGAGTATAAATGAAAAAAAAAAACACATGATGATTTAAATTAATAAACCACCTTGATTATGCAAAACATCATGTTCTTCAGCCTTCTGATAAGTAACTCTCAGCTGTTAAATTAATATATTAGGTATTTTCTCTGACAAGACCCATTCTAAGTGCCTAGAACTATGTGGCAACCTTTATCATGGGTCACATGCCTTGTGATTTTATGTGTGGTATAAGAACATATATACTATGGCTTCAGCCATAATCCCTTCAAAATTACACTAACTAGCTCAGGAGTTGAAGCAATTAAAAATTTCCAAAACTTGGTCTTTTCTAATAATAACAACATAACACTAATCAATAGCTAAATAGTTGTTCATCCTATAAAGAAAAACAGTATCTGAGTCAATAGGGATAACACAGGTATCCTACTGATTTTTGATATTTTTCTGACAACTATGAGGTTCTCTTTAATCATTCTGATAGTTGTATTAGAAAATTTAGAGCTGACCTTCCTTGGTGCAGTAGATTGATCAATAGGGAGAGGGTCTACAGCATATGAATTATGAGGAAGTGATTTGGTGAGGAAAGGGAACGTGCATTCCTAATTGCAGCCTGATTTTCTGAGGCTGTCAGAGCTCTCCAATGAATTTAACTGTAGTATATAACTTTTGATCAAGCGGTTTCTGCTGGCTGTTCTGATGCTCAGAATGATGGACCTGTGGTCCTGAGGTCGGCTGCACACGGCTGCACAAAGCCTGCATGCCTGTCTCCCAGCGGGTTGTCCTGGGTGCATGCCTGAGAACTCTGAAAACAGAAGTCTGTTTGAATTTTGGCTTGGTGCTTAGTGGTTAAGTGACTTTGAGCAATGCACTTAATCTCTCTCTCTCTCTTTTAAGATTTATTTATTTATGCATATAAGAGCTGGGGTACAGGCCAGAGATGCGGGGGGTGAGAGGATTCACCAGAGACAGAGTGGGGAGCAGAACAGGCAGACTAACTGAAGTACACTGCTGAAGGGAGCAGCGGGCAAGACAGGAGAGGTCTGCTGGGCCATGTGGGTTGCTCCCTGGCCAGCCAGGGATTGAACTCATGCTGCAGAGGCTGTGGATTGCTTCATAGTGCAGTGCTTAACCCCTTGAGCCACCAGGGAGGCCCTTAATCTCTCTCTCTCTCTCTCTCTCTCTCTCTCTCTCTCTCTCTCTCTCTCTGTACCTCAGTATTATCATCTATAAACTCGGTCTATAAAGAGCCTGTTTCATGGTTGTCATGAGAATTAACTGAGATACTTCATTAAAGCATTTAGAGTCATGGCTGGCATTTAGGAGATACTTAGATGGATTCAATTGCTGCTGTCATGAGGTTTCTTCTCCCTCCCCTTTTTCCTCCTTTTACTCCTTGCACAGCTTAATGGCACTTGCATAAGCACAGCTGGCAGATTATCTCTGAAATATGCAGTCTCATCTGCTAAATTTAGATGAGGCCTCAGATATAGTATCTAAGTGAAATAGTGTCTGATAGCCAGGAAAAGACACTGACTGGTTTACAGTAAGAGCTCCCTGAACATGTGCTGAGCCAAAAGAAGTCCTTCTTTAGTTTTCGCCAGAAAAACAGAACTAACTCAGAAAGAAGAAAATTATGTAGAGAGGTCTTTGAAGAAAAGAGTTAAAAATAAATCTTCTCCCTGACACCATTCTACCTGGATGTTTTAATTGGCTAAGAAATGATCCTTCTAGAAGACTAGCCATTCAGTGGTGCTGTGTAGTTTCTCAGTAATAAGTAGAAGGAATCCATACTAGAGACAGGCAGACAGGTGTGATCTAATTTGGAAATTCTCATTTGGGAGTAGGGGGTGGTCTTATCTTCTTTAATATCTATCATCTTATTCATAGTTGACATTCAATTGAACTTAGCTAAGAAATATTTGTTCTGTATGACAGAATACTTTGGTGTAACAAAGTATTATTATTAAGAAGTGCCATGCAAATTATTAATTTATGAACTCCTGTGACTGAGGAAAAGTAGAAGTAATTTACCCTTTGAAAGAAGGGGCAGAGAGGGAATCATTCTCGGCTGGAGAAGCAACTTTGGTATGAAAGAGAGACTGGCCGGTCAATAGGTATAAAAGTGGGTCTTGGCAAAACCATGATGTTTACCCTTAAGTAAGCAAATGACTTATCAGAACAGTTTCTCTGAATGTAGCCTGGGGACCGTCTGTATCACAATCACTTGGCGTATTTGTTTAAAATGCAGACTCCTGAGACATACTTCTGTCCAACTAGTTGGGGGTCCAAGAATCGGTAATTATATGTGTTTTGGAAAGTGCTCCGTGAATGAACCATGAGACTCTCTGGGGATGGTGGACAGCTCGCCACAGACATGATGTCCCAGGAATTTTTACTTCAGAAGCCCAAATTGGGCTTAGGTCTGGTCTGGTGAGGCAACGACTTCCTGGGAAAACTGAAGTCAATTTTTGTTTTAATTATGAGAATGCTATATTTTCATTACGGTATTTTTAAAGACTATTAAAAGTAGACAGGATTAAAATAATGAATAATATCTTAATGGGGTCAGTATTTTCACATCTGTATTACTGTATAACAAATTATAGACTTTGATAAGATTCCAAAGATATGAAATATATTTGTAGTTGTAATTATCTTATGATCATGCCTACAAAATACATTTTGGACTACAGAAACAATCAGAGTAAATCATTGAACAGTAACTGAATTGCCAATCAGAAAACACAAAACCAGGGCCTCCCCGGTGGCGCAGAGGTTGAGCGCTGGGTTGCAAAGCTGCCGGCGACCTCTGTGGCGCCGGTTCGATCCCCGGCTGCTCCCCAGCCACCGGAGGAGGGTCCCACATGGCGCGCAGACCTCTCCTGCCGCCCACTGCTCCCCTCAGCAGTGTACTTCGGTCCTTCTGCCTGCTCTGCTCCCCGCTCTGGCTCTGGTGAATTCTCTCACCCTCCCGCGCTTCTGACTGTACCCAGTGCATGTATAAACAAAACGAACGAACAAACAAACAAATAAATAAATAAAAAAAACATGCCTCTATTAAAAAAAAAAAAAAAAGAAAACACAAAACCAGACATGTTGCCTTCATGTTCTTAAAATGGGAGAATAGACCTCAGCCATAGAAGAAGACATCAGGAACCAAGTTGCAGGAGGGAGGTAGATGTTTATGGACCACTTTCTTCAATATCAACTTTCTCCATGAATATTTCTGCCTACTTGGCTTGGGATAAACTTGGAGAACCAGGCTCACAGGAGAAGCGCTGAAGGGGAGGGTGTTGGAAGCAAAGCAGACTGCCTGGTACTGTGATCTTTACACCAACCATAAAGAACATCTTGTGGTAACTTGACTCCTAGCATTTATTTTTGTATCCTTGTTCTTGTTTGTTCTTTTCTGGCAGTATTCAGTTGATGGCTCAAATCTTTTGTAGCATATTGAAAAGGGTATAAAATATGCAGTAATACAGACTTTGGGCTAATATATTTTCAAAAATGTTTCATGCCTCATTTCTCACGTAAATTCTTAGGTTGCATTCAGCCTTCAGAGCATCATTCATATTCATGATAGAAAAGAAGGATAACATTTATTACTTTTAGCGCTGGTGATATTAAGCATTGTCAAGCACCTCTACCCAAGACTGCACCAAAACATTTTCTCCCTGAGTTCTTTTAGTGGGAAAAGTGTTGCTGAGTGGACTGACTTTTAAAAATCTATCATCTATCTATCTATCTATCTATCTATCTATCTATCTATCTATCTATCTATCTATCTGCCAATCTGTCTACATCCTACCTACCTAGAACTCTTGACTCTTGACTTGTTTAAATTCTCTATGCTTCAATTTCCTTATGTATAATATGAGAAGAAAATTTCTTATGATTGTTATAATTATTAAATGAAGTAGCACAGGTATACTACACTCTAGAAATCATTCAATGAATATTTCTTTCATTTCCCTGCATGCATTTAAATCCTACTGTAGTCTTATCAAAATAAAATTTGAAATCCCCTTCTATTCTCTGTTATAAACTCCCTCCAATGCCCTTTGCTTGCAGTTTTGAAGATCCCTAAGGAGAAACTGTGCCTAGTATCAGGTACATGGTTTTTCAAAGGAAGCAGAGTTGACCATGAGGAGCTTACATGGATAGGTGTTAAATGTAATTTATAATCTTTCATGCTATTCTGACTATATCTGTTACCCAATTCCAATGTATATTTGGAGTTTAAATTCTAGCAGAGTATCAAAAATGGATACTTATTTTGTACCCAGCAGTGGAGGGAATTAAGAAATTAAGAAAAAGACTGGACCCTAACCCTCTTTCTTCCTTATTCTGGGTTTGGACCATGCATTGGGATTGGAGGATGTGAGGAATGGAGAGTGAATCTACTATATATATAACGTACACATACAGTATACATCATATATCCAACACATTCACCTTTGTACAGATGTAAAGATAAAATCACTGATAAAACATTCATCAGTGTACTCATATCTTGAAATTGAAAGCTTGGCTCTTTTCCCAGTTGTTCTGGTAACTTTTGGGAGTTCTATTTGTTTGTTGGTTTGAGAATGTTAACATCAGTCTTCCCCTTTTCTACTGCTAAAGCAGTAACCTTTGGATATAGGAGTCCATCTCACTGTCAAAGGTATGTTAAGACTACTGACAGGGAAATGCTAGGATACTTGCCCCCAGCTAATAATATATAGGTAGCTTTCCCCATTTCCCCTCCTCTTAATTTTAAAGTCGTAAGCCTTGTTTTCTATAATTCTTTGTTAATTTTTTTCTTTAGTTGCCACATGGAGTGTTTCTAAGAACAGAAAATGATTTTATCCTTATTAGAGAGTTTCCTGATCTAAAAAAAGCATAAATTATTTCCTTCAAAGAATAATATAAAAAAATAGCAAAGAACAACAAAATCTCAATGAACACTAAAGGAATTTCCAAAGGAAGATAAAGATACGTATTTTGGAGAATTTGGAATTAACTGGAAACAGAATCAAGAGACCTAGACTGACTATGGTCTTGTCTGTTAAATTCACATTTTTGTGCCTCAATTTCCTAATTTAAACAGAAGCTATTAGACTAGGTTACAAAGATTTATCCAAACTCATTGAAATTCTATTTCCTTCATACTGTTGAGATTCAAGGGACTGTATAAAGTAACACATGGAGATACTTATCTAGTCTAATCCCTTTACTTATTTGAGGAATAATGAACTCCTATTATTCAAATCCTCATTTTACAGAAGCACAGAGAAGCAAAATGGCTTGCTCAAGTCACATGATCTCAGTCACAAAGGAGAGCAGTCACTTAACTGCATATCAGGGCTGGTTCTATTAAAGCAGGTTTTCCTGATATTTTTGTTTATATTGTTTGTTTTATATTAAATTATAAGTGCTAGTTGTGCTTTTCTATGTAATTCCTTACATTCCACATCCTGTAGATAATCCAACAGGTGCTTAATAAAACTTAACTAACGTGTATACTAGCTCTTAAATTTCCTATTGCCTCTTTTTTTGTTGTTGGTTACGATAATAAGTGTACCATGAAAGGGCTCTTCTGAATGGTTCTAGAAACTTCTTCAAATTTTCAGAGCAGGGGATATTACACAGGAAGTAAGTTGTTGCTTCTGTGGCTTTTCCTCTTAAACAAATACAACCATATTTGCATCAATGACTTGTGCAATCTTTCCATCTTACCCTAGCTTAGCAATGTCTTAATATTTAAAACCTGACCCCAACCTAGAAGTTGATGAGCAAAGGGAAGTCTTGGCTCCTCATAAAGAAGTAGAGAGAAATGGCCATGAAGTTGCAATTTCCTTGTGCCATGGAAAGAAGAGACATTATGGCACATTATTCCACCACTAGAATTATATACCCCAAAATCAGATTGTAAGGAAAAAGGAGCTAGTAACCTGTGTTAGGGTGTGAGTGGATGATTTGTATTTGTACGGTAGGGTAAGATCATTACATAAAGAGCTATGTTAGACATGCCAAATTATACTGCTAAGCTGTTCAAATGCCTGCTAAACCCCTAGGCAAGTACATTTCCCTTCCACACCTTACCTAATATAATCTCTCCCTCCTGCACATAATCATCACATTTTATTTGTACTACTCATATTACACACATTAACCTTTTCTTTCAGATGTACTTTTGATCAATTTCTCAGCTCATATATAATTATTGAGCATATTAAAGACCAGGTTTGAGATGGAACCCCAAAGAGCTCCCCTTCTAGTTGAAGGAGAAAAAAAAGCCACTTAGAGTATTGCCTACACCTTTAGTAAAAATTTAATTTGGATTTTTCACTGAATAGTTTATTATAATCATAAAAATAATTTCCAAAATCCTAGGAATTGGTAACCTTTTAGTAACTAAGCAAAGAGCCATAAGAGTAGGAAATTCAGAGGAAATTTTCAATACAAAAGACATGCAACTAATTGAAGTTTCATTTTTGGATCTTCATTATAGCTTTCTTTTTAAATAAAATGAAATATTAATTAAAAAATTACTACTTCTATTGAAGGAATTTTGTGTTACAGGTATCAGTGATCAGGTTTTTTCTATTTTAACATTAAAGAAGGTTCATAATAACCATTAAGAAGTTACTAGAAAGGAAAATTCTTCTAAATCAGACAGCATGAATAAAAAAAAGAAGGGAAATTATTTTTTATCAGTCAAGATCTATCGTGTGACTTTCCAACTTCTTATTCATCAGTGGGATAAAGAGGACCCAATTCAGGCAGTAAGGTGATCCAGAATTAGTTAATCCTCATAATTTTTCTGTGTAAAAAGGAAGGGAAAAATTGGAAGAGATTTAATTTCCTTTCTAGTGAAAAAATGTAAATGAATATCTATGAAAAGGTATAAATACACAAACAAAAAGAGTGTCTACATGCACTTATTAAAATTTATATCTTAAATAAAAATACATATATGACATAAAAGAAGAAATATGTGTGGATTATTACATATATACATATGAGGAGATGTGTAGGATGGTTGACAGGCTAATAAATCTGAGATTTTTCTATGTGATGCTTATCCTCCATAATGGAGAGCCATATTTAACTTACAAATCAAAACTCTGAATTTCGTTGGACTTGGCTGTGATTACTAGATAACAAGTAATTATTCAGTCTCCAAAAATCTTGTAAGACAGAACATTGGATTAATAGCAGAGCACTTGATTCTCGTCCTGGCTCTGTTATTAATGAATTATTGTTCCTTGGGTAAGTCACTTAGCTTCTCTGGGTTTCCTCATTTTTTAAATAGGCTGGAAGACTAGATGTCTAATAAGTTCTACCTCAGCTCATAAAATATGATTATAGGACTAATTCAATTCAATAATTCATTGGTGCTATTTTCTAAAAATTATTCTATCATTTTAATGGTCAAGTGAACTGTCAGAAGATGAGGTATATTTAATCCAAAATCTGTAAAAAAAAAAATTTATACTATTTAAGGAATGTAAGCAAAATGAACTGAAAATCATATTTGTATATAAAAGATATACTATATACATACTAAAATATATGTATGCAAAATTTATATTTACATTTAATTACCATTTTGTTGGTGAAAATGAGCTAACTATAATAATTTTCTTACCTCTGCATTTCTCAATTACTAATTCCATTTTTTTTGCATCATTGCATTTCAAAGAAATTTTAACAAATCAAGTACTCATCCACTTATTCATAAATTCACTTTATATCATTATTTCAACTAATTAATGTGGAATACCAACCATCAATAATGTTATTGCTTTTAAGGACACCACATGATGGTACTATATGGAAGGTATATTCCTGTCTTTTTTTATTTTAAAGTCTATTGGGGAAGAAAGACATTTTACCAATGATTACAGTGAAAAAGATAAGAAATGGAGACCTAATTTGAATTTGAGAGTCAGGAAGCATCTCTCTAAAAATCTAATATTGAAGCTGAAGCAACAGGGGAGAGAAAAGAGTAAGCTGGTTAGGAGAATGAGAATAAGCATTGGAAACAGAAGGAGCAGCACACACAAAAACACTCAAGATGGAAAGAACTGTACTTTGTGGCATTTTAGGGGAACTGGAGACAGCCCTTATAGACTCTGTTAAATATTTTGAAATTTATTTAAAGAACATTGTGGGGTTTTGCAGTAATTTAATCAAGATAGTAATATCAGATTTATATCTTTCAAAGAGAATGCTAACTTTATATTGTGAATTAATTCATAAGGGCAACCATATAAAGAAAACCAATTAAAGACTTAGCAATAATTCAGTGAGAGAAAATGAAAGTAGGGTGGTAACAATAGAAATTGAGAAAAAGAAATAGATTCAAGAAACATTTTGGATACTAGACCAAACTCAGTAATGGAATAAATATAAATATGCAATGGAGAAAAGTGGCAGTGGTGATAAATTAATACCGTGCAATACAGTGGATGAAGATAATATTCAATGAGTTGAAGAACATCCAATGAGAATTCAATCTGCCGGAAAGACACAGAGGTCAATCTTGGTTGTACTTTTAAATCATTTTAAAAACTCTTGGATTGTGAGTGTGATTTTCTGAAGAGCATCATGGAGAAATAAACTGAGATTCGTCAGCATTTAAGTGGTACTAATAACTACGTGTGTTGGTGTATATATAAATGAAAAGAGGGCCACCCTGGTGGTGCAGGCGGTTGAGCGCAGTGCTGCGAAACTGTCCACAGCCTCTGTGGTGCAGGTTCCATCCCGGCAGACTGGGGAGATACCCATGTGTCACTGCAGACCTCTCCTGTCTTGCTCGCTGCTCCCCTCAGCAGTGTATTTCAGTCAGTCTGCCTGTTCTGTTCCCCACTCTGTCTCTCATGAATCCTCTCACCCTCCCACACATCTGGCCTGTACCCCAGTTCTTGTATAAATTAATAAATCTTTTTAAAAAATGAAAAGAGGACGTCCCTGGTGGCGCAGCGGTTGAGCGCTGGGCTGCATAGCTGCCTGCAGCCTCTGCAGCACCTGTTCGATCCCCGGCCACCAGGCAAGGGTCCCACATGGCGCAACAGACCTCTCCTGTCTCTCCCGCTGCTCCCCTCAGCAGTGTACTTCGTCAGTCTGCCTGCTCTGCTCTCCTCTCTGGCTCTGGTGAATCCTCTCACCCTCCCATGCTTCTGACTGTACCCAGTGCTTTATAAATAAACAAAAAATTTTAAAAATTTTTAAAAATTAAGCTTTAAAAAAATGAAAAGAGAATGATGGTGATATTAAATGAGAATCCATATCTAATGCTAAAGAAATGTAAGCATTTAATTTTGAGTGAAAAGAAGATATCAACTTGTAAACATTAAAGAAATAACAGCCAAAACAGATGGAAGGAAAACCAGGGATACGGTATCATAGAAGCCAAAAAGCCCAAAGGTCATCATGGTCAAAATTTTTGAGTATCAAGTAGTAATGGAGTATGAGAGTGGTTCATTGGACCACAAAAGCAATTTAAGTGGAATAATAGAGACAAAGCTGACTGATGACTATAGGAGTTGTGTTGAAAGGATGAGAAATTAAAGGAATTAAAGGAGGCGTACACAAGTAAATTTTTTGAGAAGTATGCCTGGGAAGAGTGGAAAGTGTGGTAAATAAAAGATGGTGAATTAAAGATGGGTGAGATCATAGCATCTTTGAAGATGTTATTTGGAAAAGTCCTTTTAAAAGGAAGATGATCGGGCCTCCCCGGTGGCGCAGCGGTTGAGCGCTGGGTTGCGAAGCTGCCCGCGGCCTCTGTGGCGCCGGTTCGATCCCCAGCTGCTCCCCGGCCACCGGAGGAGGGTCCCACATGGCGCGCAGACCTCTCCTGCCGCGCGCTGCTCCCCTCAGCAGTGTACTTCGGTCCTTCTGCCTGCTCTGCTCCCCGCTCTGGCTCTGGTGAATTCTCTCACCCTCCCGTGCTTCTGACTGTACCCAGTGCTTGTATAAATAAATAAATAAATCTTTTTTAAAAATAAATAAAAAATAAAAGGAAGATGATCAAAAGTCAGTAGAGGGAAGACAAAAATATAAGCCAATTTGTGTCACTCCCCCGACTATAAGAAAATATAAATTCCTCATCTTGCTCTAAAAAAGCCTCCTTAAAGCCCCCATTTAAGTCCCTGGTCTCATCTGAGGATACTTTTCCTTTTTCTTCCTTTTTCTTCCTTCCTCATATATTAAGAAATCTTCCAGGATCCCCAGCCTTAAAGCCTTTGGACAAGCTGTATCCCCTTCCAGGAATTCTCTCTCCTCTGGCATTTGCCCAGTTACCTTATTTTCTTTAGTCATTCAAGTCTCAGTTGAAATGTCCTTTATGACCATCCACTAAATCAAAAACCATCTCTGAATCTTCACATTGTCTGGTGATTTCTTGTCATTCAGAACTCATTTTCAGTATTATCACAGAAATCCCTCCTGGTTACCCAATAAAAATTGATAATACCACTTTCCTATTCCCACCCAATCACTTTATCAATTCTTAACATAACACTATGTTACATTTTTCTTATGTATATACTTTTTTGTATATACTTATGTATATACATTTTTCTTATGTATATACTTGCTTATATGTTTATGCTATGTCACTTTTCTGTAGAATGTAGAATTATGGAAGCAGAGCGAAGACCTTATCTCACTGCTTGGTACCATATTCCCAGAACATGGGCTAGTTGAATAGGAAGTTAATCATTTTAGATAACATCTAGAAAAAGCACAGTGTAACAATTTAACCAAATTCAGTACAAATATAGAGAGGTAACAGATTATGGGATTGCAATGAATAAGGTTATTTCCAAAATATTTTTGAGGATTTCTTTTAAGAGGACAAGCTGATTGATCATACACATCTTAATATTAATTCTAACTTTTATCTGTCAGTATATGTAACCTAACAGCAAGAAAAAGCTTTCTTGCCTAATAGCAAGAAGTACTTTACTATTAGAAAGTAGCTGGCTAATATAAAAAATTTACTAAGGATAAACGATTAGGTAGATAAATTAAATGTGTGAAATTGAGAGTGTATTTACTTTCAGCATACAGTAAGTCATGTACTATCATAGGCATATATATTCAAAAGTGGATAAAATACAGTAGATTGATCTCTATTAGCTCAAAGGCGAGTAAGTGAATAAAGATGCAAAAGTTAAAAATACTGTGCTATAAAAGAAATATAACAGAATTTTGAAGAAAATAATGAGAGGCAGGTTTGTTTTAATACCTCTTGATCCTAAGGATCTCATTCAACTGAATTTAGACACTATATGAATGCTTCCATTTCTCCTAGGGGCAAGTCATTAACATACTCGGTTACCCTAGTATATAACAACTTTCCCAAAAAAAGTGAAAGCCTTTTTCACAAAGAAGGGAGTGAGAGAAGGCTTTTTTGATGTCAGTGTTTCAATAGAGCAATTAAGCTTTCATTCTAACAGGAGGAGTTTGCCATAAGAAAAGTAATCATAAGCAAAGAAAAATACTGTGTTCAATGGTTATGCAATGTCAGTTTATTATTTCTAGAAGGAACTAAAGATTACAAAATGGCTTTTCTGAATTGTAAGGGGTGTGTAGAACTGAGTAACTCAGAATGCACAGTAAGGGAGTACTAGAAAAAGTGATATAAAAATAAATAGCAATAGAAATCGTGTTGAACCGAGCATGACCTTTACCTTTAGATAGAGAGGGAAGATTTTGCATATCTAACAATATCTCATCACAGTCCTCTCTGAAAGATTAAAATGATTTCACTATTTTCTCATTTATTTAATGCAAACAGGTATGGCTTGCACTGACAAAATGTCACATCTCCTACTTAGGTGCTATTATGTTGAGAAAGGACATCAAGTTTATGTTGGTTGCTCAAAGTCATTCTTAAAGACCAAAAACAAGAGCTGAATATTAAGACTGGAAATGTTTGCATGGCAGAAATCTTTTTTTTTTTTCCCTGAACATTGCTTTGGTTTTATAGTTTCTCTCAAAGGATTGGAAAGCACTATTATAAATAAGTTACATTCAGACATTAATGAGGAAGCAAATTATTTGCCTTTTGAAAATTGCAGTATCTATTTTTATGTCATTTATCAACTGATGGCTGCAAAGAATGAGTCAGAAGTAAAGAGAAATTTTCTGAGTCCAGAGTTTACTGGATGAAAAAGAAGTATTTCTCTAAGCATTACTCTACATCTAGCTAATACAACAGAATATAATTATTTTAGCAGTTACTATGAAATTTAGCATATAATATACTAATTTCCAAAATATCTTGAAATCCTTAAGAGCAAATAGAAGTTAAAAGAAGTTGGCCAGCATTAAACTAATGAGAAATATTTCTGTATCTCCCAAAGATACCAAGTCATTAATGTAATGTTAATTTTTTCTTCACTTGCAATACTGATGTATTTTATTTCTTTTTATAATTAATTTTTCATTGAGGTAATATTTGGATACACTCATTAGGTATTACCGCTGTAGTGTATCCACCATCAAACTGCACCTAGTCTACCACCACAGCCCATTCTGTTCCCTTCCCTCTTTGTTCTGACCCCTCCCACCATTGGCACTTCAGTTCTCCAGTCAGCTATCAAGGGTGAGCTTTTAAGCTTTCATTTATCTGATTCTTAGCAGTGTTAATTTTTTTATCAATATGTTTGCCATAATAAATCAATGACACTTATATACCAAAACATGGTATAGTTTGTTGTGGCTCCATTATGTTTTTCTCAGTCTGTATCTATAAGAAAGCAAGAGGCTATATAAAGGAAAGTATATTATTTTAAAATATCACATACATAAAATAAAATGCTGTTTTACAAGAAATTTTCAAAAGGAAAACTGAAAAAAATTTAAATTCTGCTTTTTCTTGCTATCAGCAGGTAGGCATCCTTTGCACACCAGAAATCTATCCTAACACTTGCAAGTAGCAACTTGAAATCTCTTGTTCCATTTATGTTATGCTGCAGACACCTTGTTTCTTTCCACATTTCACATAGAATAGGAGCAAGTCATTTATAGATGACTCTGGTTTCAATCCATTTGCTGCATTTTGAAGTTTAAAAAAATGGTGAAAATTGCCCTACTTTAGTATGACTGGTCAGTTGTAATATATTTTACAAGTTGAACCCAAAAGATGTGGCATGCTTTGAAGTTATTGCTTAAATTGTCTCAGGCTACAGTTCTTAAGGTCACGTTATTAATTTTTCCACATTTATGATCTTGACACATTTTATATTTAATCTTTTGTGAAGAAATAATTTGTCTTTACCTTGAGATGTGTTTGTGCTAGGCCATAAAATCAGGTGGTGACCCAGTAGAATCAATGAGGACATTAAAGCGACTGCAGAAACTTGTTCAGATCAAGAAAGCCGGGGTGCTGAGTCTGAATGAGATGAAATTCACATTAATAAATCTCCATAAGTAAGAACTCAATGAGGTGCTAAAAATTCTTTGAGGGAGATTTGGGGCAGCACGTATTAATGAAGGCCATTTTGACAAGGCCATAAAATAATTATTAAAAAATAAGGATTTTTAATTGCCAAGCTATTCGTGAAACAGATGTCCTGTTTTGAATTTCACCTTATACCTCTGCTTCATCCCATTTCTCCATCCTTTCAAGACAAAGCTCTGGGATAGAGTAAGAGAAAGCTATGGATGAAGATCAGCAAGAGAATAAGGGTCAACAGTTTCCATCAACTCTTTCTATATCTTGGCCATAGAAAACAGTACTTTTCAACTTGGTTTTTGGTGGAGTAAATTAGCATGTCATGAAGTACAACTTTGATTGCCTTATCATTTTTACAGTAAGGGCCTGTTAATCAAAATATTTTTTATAGCAGGTCAAAGTTTGTAATGAGTTTCAGCAATATGGTACAATTTAATATGTAACATACATTTCTACTTTCTGTAAATGTACTGTTTTGTACATTACTAGAACTTTCTTCAGACCTTCATTACATTGTATAATCAACTAATCACTGAGATTATATAAATACTCTCACTAATCAACTTTACAATACTAAGTATCAATACTTACTTTCTTTTGTTCTCTCAGCCTTGTTTTTGTTTTCCATACATTGCATGTATAAATCTCTTTGCAAACTGATATTACAAGATAAATTTTTAGAACATCAGAATTTCAGTCCATATCCACTGAGGTTTTATTTAAGTAAAACAAAGATTGCATGTGCTTTCTTATTATGTTTCTTTATGTGTGTGTGTGTGTGTGTGTATACTAAAAAAAAAGCTATTTAATAGTAGAAGCACACTATACTATGCTTACAAGATGTGGGCATTTTGCTACTTTGCAATTTTTCTCAAGTAATTTTCAGTATGCTATTTACATGTTGCTTCCATTCATTTCAGTCAAATCAACTTTAAACATTAGATATGGTTTCCAGAAGTTTCAAGTACATCTGAATTTTACAAAATAAATAACAATATACAAAAGAACATAATCTTTAGAAACTCCATTGCAAATTATTTTGTGAAACTGAATGACTTCCTCATTTATCCTATGCGGTTCATTCATTTCTTTTAAATAAAGAGAAGTAAAATATAATTTCTACATGTAAAAATAATTAGATTTACTTTTTTTCCCTCTATCTTTCAGAAGATAAAGATGAAAGATTAATTTCCTGGATGAAATTAGAAAAGAAAAGAAAATTAGTAATGCCAGAACAAGGAAGAAGGAAAAAAATGGAGAATAAAATGGATACCATTCCTGCATCACTGGTTAGATCCAGCACTTCTGGCTGCAGTTTGCCAGAATTGCCCTAGAACATGTTCTAGGGCTTCACATTGAAGGTGAAGTTCAAATGTGGAAAAGTTGGAAGCCTTTTCCAGAAAATGTGCTCTGGACATGTGTCGATTTCCAAATTACCCAAGCTGAACCCTAGGACAACTGTTTCCACTGCTCTCACCACTCACATCTCAAGTCTTCTTGTACAGATACAGATCTCCCACATTCGAGGGTAAGTTCCTAAACTACGTAAATGTATCGTCTTATCTGGATGTTTGTACTGGCAGGAAAGAAAGAGATAACAGAAGTGCTAATCAGTCAAATTTACAGGGTCAGAAAAGTTACCACAGCTAGAGTTGTTTTTCAAAAAAAAAAAAAAAATACAATTTCTCTGATACTTGCTACATGTTAAAATTGCGTAAGTTTCTTTAGGCACAAATAAATTTCTGCATAATATTTCCCAGAGATTTCTTTGTAATTAAAGGGAGACTTCAGCTGTTGTTTTAGATAAAGAAAATTTGTATTGTACTGTCTAAATTATTGCTGTAGTTGTGGAATTTCACTGACAAATAATAGTTAATTTAAATAAGCATTTCCCATTCTCCTAAGCATTTCACATACACTATATCACTTAAAGTTCACAATAACCCAATATGCATGTACTACTATTCTAATATTAATTCCCATATGTTATGCAATTAGGAAAAATAATGTACAAAATAGTAACAAGCATAGGTCACACAGCTAATAAGAAGTAGAGCTGACTTAGATAGTCTTTTGCTAAGGATCTTGCTTTTAGCTAGTACAATAGAGTGTACATGATATTTCCCTATACTAAGTAGACTCTAAGGCTATATGGTGCTTGAGAAAGAGCATGGATTCTGGAAATAAATAAATTTGGGTTTGGATCCAAGCTTTGCTACCTGTTTACTTTGGCAAATTGTTCAAACTATTTAACTTTCTCAACTATAAAATAGAAATATCAATATTAGGCTCATGAGGCAAATGAGAAACTAAAATACACATGTTCTAGGGCTTAGAAGTATCTACTTTATTTTTCAACTTACATAAGGCATGAATTGTGCCGTTAGTACTCTACAGTAATGGCTATTAGTGTTTGTAGTGAATAAATGAAAGAAGATTGTATATCCACAAATCTTCCTCTATTCCATTTTGCTCTAGGAATCAGTCTCTCATTAGACTATATTTTATGAAGATTTGCAATCTCTAAAGAGGCTTAATCTCTCTTAGAAACCCTTTTTTGCCATTTAAAATATGTGTATTAAGTTAGGTCTCTGAAGACTAAAACTAAAGTAATCTGTGTTCAAAGTACCATTTTAAATAATATAGGCTGCTAGTAACAGGCTTGGAACTGGTGAAACTGCCAAACAATTATTTCAGGAATGTCTCACCCACTTCTTTAATCTTCACCTTTTCCTCTAGGTCTTCTGCGCTATGTAGCCTTCTTGTAGCAGGTTTTTAGAGATCAACTGGTAATATATTTAGGGCCTGTTTCTGAAGATTCTTCTTCATAACTTTAGAATCAGGATCAAGAATAATGATTCTTTGGCAAATGACAAAGCTGATGTTTAAGAATCTAAACACAAATATTCAGAGTGCCTTTATAATCAAACTCCTTAACTTAGCATTTCTAGATTTTAGCAGCCTGGTCGCAGTCAAACTTTTCAGCATTGTCTACTACTTCCTTATAGGTTTTCCATGCTGAACTGCCAAACTAAATGATTTGTTATTCCTAAAGTCAACCTGTACTTTCCTGCCTCTCTACATCTGTGTTTATATATATTGGCTACTGCCTGGTATGTTATCCTCTCCTTTAAACCATGATCCCTATCCCTTAGACTCAGTTCAAATACTTTGCCCACTAGGGCAAAGACTTCCTAGGTCATGCCAGATAGAAATAATCACTCTTCCTTTGAATTCCTAGATTATTTAAGGGCATTATTATTTCATTATATATTCATTAAGTATATATTGGCATCTACTGTTTCCAAGACACAGTATTAGACAATGGGGTTTCAGAGCTAAACAATGTATACCTCACCCTTGTTTTCACAGAGCTTATTGTACTCTACCTATCACGGAATTAGTTGGGCATTTGTTTGCTATAAATCATTTACTTTGAATCCTCCATAGTCACGGTAATATTATGGACAATCAGTAAATATTTGAGTACATTTCCTGACTAAATGAATGGAGTTTTAGAAAAAAATGGACTTTGATGCCATAGATCTAGATCAGTCTTTTTTCTCATTAATCTAATGGCCCTTATATTAATCCTAATATTTTATATAGGTGTTTGTGATTGTCTATGTGAATTTAGGCATATACACAATAGTGTTTTGCTTTTTCAGGTAGTTTCATCTTTTTTTAAATAGAACTAAATGATTAAGTGAGTTTTATCTGCAGAAGGTCAAACATATCTGCAGAATGCTCAGAATTTCAGATACTAATGTTCAGCATTTGTGACAGGAAATCCTCAGTAGATTTGGAGAGAGGGTTCAAGAATACGTTAACGTTAAATTGGTTTGGTAAACTTAATGAGACCACTTATACTCAGGGATTTGAGACACTGGAGTAAAAAAAATGTGGAAGAGTACAAATTATTACTTTCATATTCTACACATATATTCTATAATGATAACAAGTTTTAAAAATCCAATATAATTTTAGCATAACTAGTATTTTTTTCTGTAGTAAGTGCAGGGCTATTATTTAGGTGATACTTTAACTTTCATTCTGTGGAAGGTACAGGAAACAGATAGTGTTGGGGGAAATGATGTGCTTCTGAAAATGAGTGTTACTATAAATGATAAGTAGTCAGAAGTGACATTTCTGTGATTTTAAAGGGTAAAAGTATGGCCAGATATTTTTAAATTGTGCCAACTTATGAAATGTGCTGGAGCTGGGCTTATACCCCACATTTTGGGGGAAATATAATCAGTTCATAAAGACATTAGTTTTTCCTTGACTTCAGAATTTCAGCAATATTAGATTCCAATATCTATGATCCCATTATCAAATCAGAGTATTAAGGTGGCTTGAAACTAATTTGTCTTCTAGAAAGTCCTTATTTACCTAGGTATGACTCCCTGCTGAGTTCACTATAACTAACAATGAAGACTGGTTCTGATTGAGTGGGGTTTAACAAGTCTGACATCACCAGCAGAGAGAATCTGAGCCAACTCCTTACACTATTTAGCCAATTGGTTTCAGACTTTACCTAGTCACTTTCCTCTAAGTGGGTCATTGCATTTGTACACTGGAAGATCTCATTTATATGTGGAAAACAGAGAAACAAAACAAAGGGTCAAACAAAGCCAAACAATTAACAAGCTCCATATATTTTACTGAAAAAATGAGGCAACCAGAAGAGGAGGGAGCAGGGTGGGAGAGGAAAGGGGCCCAATGGACCATGGTGAGGATTACTGGGGCACTGGCAGTGAGCACGGTGTGAAAATAGACATTTGTAAAAGCTTGAACCTACAGCCCCAAAGCAGATATAATGATATAAACCATCTTTGCCTCAATAACATAACTGGGAAAGAAAATAAAACACACACCCATTTGTACAACATGGTTACCCATATCTATCATGCCGGGACGTTAGGAAGGTTAAATGAATGTTAGAAGGAGTCAGTCCATAGTTGGTAATATTTACAGCAAAATCAAAGAATACAGAGTTTTGTGCTAGACACAGAAAGAAATGACACTTACTCAGTTGAGATACCATAAACAAACTGAATCCAGACAGGGAAACGTATTGTTTGTGAAGGGCTCTTCTCAGAAAGGGGAGAACGAGACACACAGATGTTTAACATGCAGTTTAGTTGTTTGTATGGCCTGTGGGATCTGAGGAGTGGGGAAAGATGTGTGATTATGAAATTGATATAAATTGAGAAAGGTGAAAGATCAGATTTATGAAAGTATGTACTCCACAAGAGAAATGTGAAAGGAAAAACTACTTAAGCATGCGGGTCTTTTCTAATATCCAACATGAGTGGTGTTGAGAGGGGATTTCAAATGCATCTTAAAAATGTGGAGGTAACCAAAAATAATATTTGAAGCTAAGTGTTTAAAATCAATTTATAAGAGGAGTGATTGAAGGGTACTTAGGAAGCTCTGCATTCTAAGAGCTTGAAAGAGCTTAACAAAAAGAGGAAAGTAAGTCAGAAGATAGGTTGAGAACAGGGGCAAGAAAGAATAAAGTTTGTGTTATAAAGGAGATAAGGCCTTCCTTCATCATAATATTATGATAAAAGCAAACATTTTTCAAAAATCTGCCATAATTTTTCAGAATAAATAGGGTAAATGTTATTTTTATAAACATAAGAAATGGAAATAATCTAGACATGACAAAGGAAAGCATATATTCATTTCTACCTTCAAATATCTAAAATATTTTGAAATCATAAAAATAATGTGGTATGTTTAAAAAGTGACAATAACAAAAGCTCCTTCAGGAAGATGGATAGTCAAAGGCCTGAAAGAGCAAAATAAAACCCCAGGTTTAAAAGAATTCAGTGAGGTACAGATAGAAAAATTATAATGAGAAGCAGAAGTATATAAAAATCAAAGAAAAATGAGTGAAGGCTTATATATAGAATCTCAAGGTGACAAAGTAAACAAATCTCTACTTAAAGTATCTTACAGTGCATAAGAGGATGAGAAGAGTGGATATTGAAGGTCTTGTTGGAGAATTACACAAACCCCTCAAAATTGCACCAAAAGAGAAAGTGTGGATAATGGAATTTTTTTTTTTTTATGTAACTGTATCAGTGAGTGAAACAGGATGTGCCAACCAAGAAATAAAGAAACAAAAGACTTTACAATTAATCTTTCAGTTCAGGTGGGGAGCAGTAGATGCCATATTGACATGGGAAAATGCCCTTGGGGAACATAACCCACAGCTAAGTGGTATTAGAAGTTTCAATACTGGCCAAAAAAACTACTGATTTATGTGAGAGGTCAAAAAATGAGGGTAAGCTTTTTGTGCCTGTCCTCTATTTTATCTATCTGTTTCTCAACCTGCCAATCTCTGTCTGAGTCTGTCCTAACTCTTCCAGTCAACATGGTACATCATTACCAGATTAATTCACTTGGCTAATCTACCTGAGCTCATCTAATTAATTCACTTGGCTAATGACTCTGTAGCTCAGACACAATAATACTACCATTTCCCGCACACATCATCTTTAAATGTCTCCCCAACAT